TATTCAAGTCAAGTCAAGTTTTATATCACGATAAACTCATTTGTTCATCTCGATTATCGGTAAGTATCGGAGCAGTAGTGGCAGTTAATCCATTTTACATAAGATTGACTGTACACTCAGGTATTTGTTTCAGTATCTTTATCAACCTTTTTATCTACCTTATCCGAAGTCTCGGATAATAGCGGTGTTTCACTTCTTGTCTCTTCATCACATGATGATAAAGGTGATGGAGGTATCAGCTGCGGTGATGGTGGTGGTGGTGTATCCTTTTCATTTTCATCTTTTATTCTCAGCGATGTTAAATGAACATGATGGCGGATAATGTGATATAATTCTTCATCGATGTTTGTTAACTCACTTAAAAGTATATTCGGGAATCTCTTCGAAATATGCTCTGTTCTCATCTTCCTCGAGATTGTAAAACATGGTATTTTATGTTTGTAAAGTATCTCCTTATCTCTCATCTGTTTAGGAAACAAGCGCAGAGGAGTTGTTGAAAACTCTTTACCTTCTCCCCACCAAATAAATACTTGATACCATGATGAGAGGGGTCTGATCTCCTGACAATCCAGTTTTGTTTACTTTTTCTCTTCTGTAAATAATCCAAAAGATCTCTACACAAACGTTCTTCCTTCAATGTGACAATAACGTAATATGTAGCATTCATCTTGAAAACAAAAAAGCGAATGAAATAATCATATGTGATAACCTTTATTTATACATGTTTACACATGTTTTTATTTTTTATTTGCATGTGTTTTCTTTTTTGCATGTGTCTTTATTTACTAACGCATGCTTTTTTTTAAATCCATAAGGTATTGTCTTAAAATCGTCTATTAATACATGCTTATCATAAACAATACGATAGTCCTTCTTCATCTCCTTTGTCATGATGTTTTTTTCTCTTTTATCTCTTGTGATTTTGAATGGGTTATTCACCGTGATCTTTGCCTTTATATTACATTTTGCACGTAAGTATATGAGAACGTGAACTGTGTTAGGATTTATCTTCTTACTAACAGAGTGATTCAACGTGATACCGCAAATTTTTGTCTCCGACTTTTCATTGCTAGTATAAGCGTAATTCTTTGGTCCTCCGGACATAAGAGTGGCAATACACTCTCCATTTAACTCATCTGTAAGATCACCCAAATAATTCCCCAAAGGTGGATTGTACGCCGTTGTAAAAGTAGCAATAAGCACATTGTAGGCCGTGGACTGATGGCCTAAAATCTTTCAACGCCGCTGCCCCCATCGTGAAACTAAACAATTTTCGCACAAACATACTTGTTATGGTGTCAAAATCACAAATTAACTTGGCCCCAATGGAAAAAGTTGCACAATGATGAAATATTTTACCATTAAACTTCGGCAATAATCTTGCTCACGATGTTCGAAAACGCCATTTTGTTTGTACGCGGAAAAAGGTCTAGGTACGAAATTCAGCGGCCTGCGCGTGGGCTACGTGAGGAGTTCGCCCGATTTCACGATTCACATGATTATTACTAAGAAATTGATTGGCTAATATGCATTAATCAGTAAATAAAACATGGCGACTGAAATAGAAAGGCCAAGTTATGTAAATGAACTTCATTTCGAGTCATGTTTTATGCATTTTGGAGATATTTGTGAAACGTTATTCCCTATAACGAAAGCGAGATTGGAGAAATTCATTGCTTGTCGAAAAAGATGGGTCAATTTAAAATGTGAACAGGCTGATATATGTCGTATTTCTTACGAGCATTTCTCAGATGAAAAGATATTGGATTATTTAAAAGAAAGGGACTTTGAACTGGACTGGTCTTATCGCAAAACTTGTTACAAACGTTTATGTGACGAAGAGAAGATTCGCAGAGCAGAAACCAAGGCAAACTTATGTTGTAACGTGGAAAACCCGCAAACGATCAACACTAATATTGATAATAAGAGGAGGTCAACAAGGCTGGCTGAAGAATCTCCGAGAAATAGGTCCAGGAATGACCATGTATTGCCTGAACGATGTATCATATGCCAAAGAGAGAGTCCATGGTTCAAAATGGACAAGGTAAAACCTTTTTGTTCTGGCCTTTCAAATTTCTAATAGGCCATATATTCTATTTAATATATGCCCCCTCCCCCTATTGTCGAGGGTATGGTCATGCAATGTGGGGGGGGGGGAGTGCTCATCTTAAATTATCCTAAAGGTGTAAAGTTAGTTCGTTCCTAAAGGGTAGTTTGAGAGATTTTTTAAAGAAATGGCAAGAATTAGGTGTTTTAGTGACATATCCAAGAGGGAAAAGTGATATCCCAAAAGGAGTAACATATCTTAGCAGGTAATCTCTACAAATTGCATCCAAAGGGTTTCCAATTCTTTATATCGTAAGGGACCCCCTCAATAGGAGGGGGGGGGTGTCTGTATTAAACGGAACGGCCATCTATAGTTCAATCCCTACGCATATGCTACATAATAAAATGTCATACAACTCATTATTGACATGTAGATGTGTTTAGTATGTCACTTGTGTGTAGGGATTGAACTATAGTGGGCCATTCCATTTAATATAGGGATCGAACTATAGAGGGTAATTCCATTTACGTAATAAGGGCCATTCCATTTTTATTTTATGAGCGCTATATCAATTGTAAAAATTATTATAATATAGAGGGTTTGTTCCTAGTTGAGGGTATTAATGTGTGAAACCAATGGTTTCCTAGTGCCTGCACACTGCGATAAACTCTATTATTTAATATGGTCAAATTGCAAACTAACTTCTTGACATCTTTTGCAAGCATTTTGCTGATTATAAGCTAGGTGGGCCCTAAGTACATTTATTAAGCAAACATACATCACACGAATTTTACCAATCTTCTAAATTAAGTTGTATTATTCGCTTATGTTATTAGAAGTCTTGTAAACGAAAGAGAGTTCCTTTGATGTTATGTGAAACCGAGAATGGAGGACTTTTACGGGAAGCTGCTGAACGGAAACAAGATGAACGAATCCTAGTGGATATAAGAGGACGTGACTGTTGTGCCATAGAAGTAAGATACCATAAAAATTGCTATGTGAACTATACAAATTTTCTGGTACACGAGAAAATGCACCTGAAGATCAGGAATCAAAGAATTTATATCAAAAAGGCTATCAAACATTTTGTGTAGAAGTTGTGGAAAACAACCTTATTGCGAAGAAACAAATCAAATATATGACAGAACTGTTTAACCAATTTGTGCGTATAGTTGAGAAGGAAGAAGGACTTGATGCATCAAACTACAGGAGATTCAGGCTTAAAAATAGGCTGACTAAATCTTACCCTCAACTTGTGTTTCTCAAACCTAATGTGAGAACAAAAAGTGAAATGGTTTATGTTGAAAATCTGACATCAGAAGACATAGTGGATGAACATATGACCTTAAAGGAGATGGAAGATGTAGAAGATATGGATTACGAAGACTATGGAAAAACAAGTGAAGCCAATTCGAATGAGCTCCCTGTGTTATTCAATGCTGCAATGATTTTACGCAATGCATTGCAGAATAACCTGGGCTTGTTACCACCTGGCCGCCATTGGCATCTGATCTCACCATGGAAAATTCAAAGAATGTTGTACCAGTTCATCTCTTCAACTTTCTGGCATGGATAACTGCATCTTCCAATGATGCACAGCTTGACAAACATATAGATGTTGTCGAGAATGGAAGACTTAATAAACTTATGTCTATTGCTCAAGACATAGTGCATGTGACATCAGATGGAAGGAAGCTTACACCTAAGACTATTTCACTTGCCATGTCATTGAGGCAGCTGACTGGTTCTTCCTCCGTGCTGAATCTCGTAAATGCTTTAGGTCACTGTATGTCTCATAAATTTGTGCTAAGGCATGAGACAGCTTTAGCTCAGCTGAGTATCTCAGACACAGGTACTGTGCCTCCTGGATTTTCAAAGAAAGTGTCTGCGACCCTCGCATGGGATAATGATGACTTTTGCGAAGAGACAAGGTCAGGGAAAGGCACCACACATGTTACTGGAGGCATTATTCTACAGAGATCTGATGACACCAATGATCAAACTGTTGTTGGAGAAAGGAGAGATCTACCAAGGTTAGGATCCTTACCAGTTATCTCTGATGAATCTGAACCGTATATCCTTGGTCGAAGAGTCACAGTTGATCTTCGAGAAGCCATCACAAGCATACCACTTGCCAAGGAAAGTTACATGTCAATTCAAAATGACAAAAGAAAACAAGACTTGGCATTCATTATTTCCAGGACTGTAGACGCTTTTCAACCACTAATCCCAAACTGGACTGGATTCAACACCCTGCTCGAATCTGAACACATTCCATGCTGCACAAAGATTGGTTACCTGCCTATTATAAATTCTTCTCCAACAGAACTATCCACAATTAATACCATTCTAAAGAGAAGTCAAGAAATAGCAGACAAGTTAGAACTGAATTATATATGTCTTGTATTTGATGAAGCTATTTATGCTAAGATACAGCAGTTAAGATGGAAGGAGCCAATCTATTACAATAGATTCATTGTTCGTCTTGGTGAATTTCATATGGCTATGTCATTCTGTGGTGCCATCTCTAAATTGTTTAAAGATGCAGGATTAAAGGTAAATAATACCAGGCATCCTTCATTGATAAGGAAAACCTTTAACAATTGACTATGTGCTTGAAATTTTTATTAGGTGATAATGTAACGAAACGTAACTGTTTCTTCATAATGAAAATTGAGGGGGAAAAACTCTCACTCCCTGTCCACCATTTTGTTTATTACCTATTTGTTTTCTATCAAATAGCGTAGCCAATCAGAAGACAGGATTTTCAATAGTACTTGAATACGTTTCTACTAAATACTATTCGTAGCTGTTGTTCAGATATTGCATGTATGTGTACTGATCCAATTTAACTTTCTTTAGGACCTAATTGTGGAGTCAGACCTTGTAGCCATTGGATCAGTAACTGGTGTGCTCACCGGGAAGCATTATAATCGGAGTGTGCAATCACACAAAGTTATCTATGAAGCATTAATGCGACTGCTCTTCCAATCATTCATTGAAACTCAGTCACCAGGGGAACAGGAGAATATTCTGTCATTTGTTGGTAAGTTATCGAGGGAGGAAAATAAGGTACCATACATGTGCTGTACATATCCATCCGTAGTTTGCACTACATGGTGTCAAAAAAGCCATCTTGAGGGGATAATTTAAATACAGTGGATTTAATTTGTATCTTTACAGAATACATGGCTGAGTCTTACCCAAATGATGAATTTTACGACTGTGTTATGTCTCCTGAGCTTGAAGAACTCTTAAAGTCCCTGGAAAATTTTACTAGATCAAAGTCTGCAATCAATCCCACATTTGCGTTTTGGTTAATGTATATCGAGATGGTCCAAATTCTGCTTCTGTTTATTCGCGCAACAAGGGAAAACAATTGGGAGTTGCACCTTTCTGCTGTCAGATCAATGCTTCCCTGGTTCTTTGTGGCTGATCGAATACATTATGCAAGATACGGGACAATGTACTGGCTGGAAATGTCTTGTTTGGAAAGCACTCATCCAGGTAAAGTGCAACTAATTGGTTGGCTGGATTTTGTAAACTTAATTTGAGTTTCAAATTTCAAACTATTTGCAAGTTGCATCAATTGCAAGTAACCAAGTTGCTTATTCAAGAACGGACGCGGTGTTCATGCATGCAAAAAATATTTGAAAAAATATATTGAAAATAGCAAAAGTAATCGACGTTTCAAGCAAAGTAAGTTTGTCATGAATTAGTAGGACGACTTACATCTATATGCCATAATCATCAAGAAGGGTCATTACTTGATTACTTTTGCAATTTTTCAGAGCTGGCATTTTATGGAGTAAAAAATCCTATGCTGTATTTTTCAGGATGGCATTTCATAGAGTAAAAATCCTATGCTGTATGATCATGGTCACATCTGTAATACATGATACTGTAAGCACAGTTATTTTATTAGTTCCAAATCTTCATATCTTTGTTTTTGAGATGCACTTGAGTCGGTCAAAGAAACCTGGACATGTCAACGACAAAGGCGATACGGATTTTCATCGACTGCCTGTGACCAAGTCATGGAACAGACTTTTAATAGAGACTCGAAAACCAAGGGTGGTATCACCGGATTTTCGTTGAACAGACGTGCTGTACAGAGGTGGATATTATCCCAGTCTGAAAGAGGATCTATCACTCGTCAATGTCACAGTTTGGCTGGACTTGCAAAAACGGATAGGTTGGTAACACTTATTTAGTCATACGAGTATTCACATATTCAGAAATATTGGTACTGTACCTGATATGACCATGCAGAAGGTGACAACTCTTCTATAAGCGCATATATCATTAACAAATATTTTTCGGATTTCTGTAGGGAACGTAAGGAACTAGATTCCACTCAGATTGGGAATCATAATTCTGACGTTGCAGCTGTTGTAGAGACAATTTCAACAGTGATTAATCCTTTTGATACGGATTTGGAAGATCTTGTTAACATAACAAGTGGTGAGGTAGCTCGACCTGACGTCAAGAAAGATCTTCTTTCCGCAATTATTATTGGGGAGGATAAACTGGACAAGTTTATAAAGCAGAAAGTCACCCCTGAGGAGTCAGAGCAACCGGACATATTTTCAAGCATCGAGTCAACGAAACTTAAATCATTTTCCAGGAAGAATCTGCCGGTGAGAGCACAGACAAGTAAAGGAAAGGTGGTGGAATTGAAGAATGATTCCAAGTTCATTGCCCGTCTGCTTGCCATAGGGGAATCGAGAGAGATAGACATTGAAAACCTTATGACGTATAGCTTGCGAAAGTGGCCACAACCTTTTGCCACTGTAAATGAGGAACTTGTTAAAACAGCAAAAGTAAAATTGCTGCACATCATTGAAAGTCGGTGTCAGGAATGTTTATCAGATTCACTGCCACCACACAATGCGCTGATGTTAGATGGCATGGCTATCGTCCAGACGGTGAAAGATGTGCCACAGACATTTGGTGCGTTGGCTGAAAAGATCACCCAACGAATCATCAACAACGCCAGAACCTCGAATACATCCAGAGTAGATTTCGTTTGCGATCGATATCCTGAGATAAGCATAAAGAATCTCGAAAGAATCAAAAGAGCTGAATCAGGATCTACTCATATAAAGATATGTTCCCCCTCCCAAAAAGTTCCTCGACAGTTTAAAAAGTTTCTTTCGCTCGGAAAAAACAAGGAGTCCCTCATTGATTTTATTTACAGGTTTGTTATCTTGAATACATTGGATAAACATCCTGGTTAAATTTAAACTCGATTCTGGTCAAAAAATGTACCCACGCAACTGTTGAGATTTGACAAATTTCCAGGTTATTTTAATCAAGATGTTGTTAAATCACCAGATTTCTGACCAAGATATGTGTTGTGCTTGCAACCTTGTCCCCAGGGCCTTCTTTTTTTTGGGGGGGGGGGGATTATTTTTGGGTTTGCCCCCCAAAAAAAAGGAAGGCCCTGGGGACCAGGTAGTTGTATTTGTTAACTAGGATGCTGTATGCAGAATATGAACCTCGCGTTTTGTTAAAGTTTAAGCGTACCAGGGGAAAACGATGACATACAGTATCTCTTCTGGATTTTTTAGATATTTGACTGATATGAAAAATTTATGCGAGCGATTGGGATCCATTGAGCTATTCTTCACACATGGGAAGCAATGCCATCGTTTTCGTGCTGGTGCAGATGGCCTGTTAGAAACAATTGACGTGCCAGAACTTTATAGCGACCACGAAGAAGCTGATACACGCATGTTGCTTCACGCAAAGCACGCTTCCCATGACTATGATAATGTTGTGATTAGAAGCCCGGATACAGACGTATTTGTTCTTGCAGTTAGCCACAAATGTTCTTTCGACGCATCATTGTACTTTGTGACCGGAACAGGTAACAGCAGCCGGATTATTGATATCAACAAAATTCAGGAAGAACTTGGGAGTGATCTTTCCTCGGCCCTCATTGGCTTCCATTCGTTTACAGGTACCGTACTAAGTAATTGTATGTACAATGAACTGTATGTGCATGTTAAGCAACTCTAGTCTTATTAGACACATTAATAATGAAATTGTTCCAATATTCATATCACCGCTAATGAAGGCACTACATAATATTGTCGAAAAGTTGGGTCAAGAGCTGCAATTTCTCTATATTCTTTTGTAGGTTGCGATAGTACAAGTGCCTTTTTTGGTAAGGGAAAATTAAAGCCATACAAATTGCTAGAAGAATCGTCTGAGTTCGTCGACACTTTTAACGTCGTCGGACAAGCGTTTTCTCACGAAAAAGAATTACTAGGAAGATGTGAGAAATTTGTTTGTCATCTGTATAACCAACCTAACACCACTGAAGTGAACAAGGCACGTTTACACCTTTTTCGTCTCGGGCATTTCAACGAAGAATCGATGCCATGCACAAAAGATGTGCTATTACAGCACCTAAGTCATGCTAATTATCAAGCAGCAATATGGAGGAGAGCTTTACAGCCATTCATCATGGCACCGGACATTACTAACCATGGATGGGCTGTTGCGAATAATATGGTTTCCATCGTATGGATGGATTTACCTCCAGCACCGGACAGCATCTTGGAGAATGTACATTGCGGGTGCAAATCGGGATGCTCAAGCAATAGGTGCTCTTGTTTTAAAGAAAACCTTCGCTGCACGGGTCTGTGTCATTGTGAAGGATGCGCCAACCGTTCGGAATTAGCGGACGAAGACTCAGAGAATGAAGGTTACAATTACGATATGAATCATGAAGACGATAGCGAGAGCGATAATGATTATGGAGACAATTGAAAGAGGTGTAATGTCCATTCGCCGCTTTTGCAGTTTGTTTGCCTTTTGAATCATTAAAATGTATATAATTAATTGTTGCTCTCTCAATAAATATGGAGGAGAGACTCATTCTAGTAGATGCTCAAAACGAAATTTAGAGCAACAAGACCCAACATTGCAAATGGGCGTAACAGACTTTACATTACCAAAACACATAATTTTGTTCTGTTTTGTACAAAACATTGATGTCCACTCGCTTCGAAATATGATTAACTCCCACTCGGACGAGAATGAGCCTTCCATTGGTGCACAATTAGCAGGTCAAAAAAACTAACAATAGATAGGAAAATGCTGACTCATCATTTTTTTAAATATTTAGTCGGCGATAATTCAGTACTGAGTGATTGGACGAAATTGGTGTAATATACTTTATTAGTTCTTTTAACTAGCTCTATCTGATGGTGTTGTCAAAAATTGGAATTTCCAAGAAAATGAATTACTTAATTATATATGACGTCATCGCCAGTATACTGTTGATTTTGCCCTATTGTGCAAACTTTTCAAAAGGGGCCACCTTGATTGTTTGAATTTGTATGTTTCTCCGTGCTTTTATGAAAGAAATCGTTAGTTTCAAGATGGGGCAGCGAAATTCAATTTTGTGGCACATTTTAAGTCCCCAGTCCACGGCCTATTGGTTTTGTTGTTGGGTTCTAAAAACTCGCTCGTGCTTTTGTACTGTACTTCAAGCATACAATTGTTCACTATTTTAACATCACATACATCAAAGTTGTCCGATGAAAGACGCTCAAAATACTTTTGTGGATTTGTAATCATCTCCGTCTTAGGTACATTGGGACGTTGCGCAAATTTACCTAAAAATTAAAAAATCATGATTACCCAAAAACTCACGATAATAATTCTACAATAAAATTTACACAAACCCCAAAATGAGTTCAACATCAGTTTTGCTAAAGCACGTAGACCGGGTTATATAAAATCTTCTCCATTTCCAATTTCATATCCTCATGCTCAAGATACATGTCAACATAAGATTGAGCCGGAGAGTTCAAACTATTTTCCAGTTAATTTTGATGAAACTTTTAATGATACACTTAGAGAAAGTGCAAATGAGTCAAAAGAAATCATAATCTTAGGAGATTTCAACATTAACTTTCTGAAAGCGAGCGAACATAAAGATTTTAAAGCATTGATCAGATTTTAAAGCATTGATCAGACTTTACAGTTTCTGCCAAATTTTTAAACAAGCAACCCGTATTTCTAAAGATGCACCAAAGCTAATTGATATTATACTAACAAATAACCCATAAGTATTGTCTAAGAGCGGAGTTTTTATGGTTGATTTGAGCGATCACAAAATGGTTGGTTGCGTACGTAAATTAAACAATGGCCAATTCACACCAAAGGTTATAACATGTCGTAATTACTCGGCTTATGAGCCTGAATCTATGAAAGAAGATTTCAGGACTGTCAATTGGCAGCTATTATATACTATGAATGATGTTAACAAGGCATTAAAGTACTTTAATCATACTGTTAAAGCTATCTTTGACCGTCATGCGCCACAAATGGTTAAAAAAGTAAGAGGAAAACCTTGCCCATGGATTATTTCTGATATCAAAAAAACAATGTCATCTAGAAATCGTATGCTAAGAAAAGCGTGTAGAACGAAAAAGGTAGAACATTGGAATTTATATAAGAAATTACAAAATGCTTGCAATAACAAAATGCAGTCTGCAAAGAATACATATCATAACAACTTGTTAGAAACTGCATCAAGTCCTAAAAGTTCTGGAATATAATTTAAAAAATCTTTCCCACGAAATTTAAATCGATATGGATGTCAACGAACTCAAACAATGACAAGAACAAACACAGAGTAAATATCTTTAGTACATACTTTGCTAATGTTATCCAACTGCTAAAGGAAAAATCAATGCCATTAACTCATTAAGTTGCAGACTGTTGCAATAGTTCTACCCCACTAAGTTGCAAACAATATGGCCGATTTTAGGAATTAATGACTGCCTTCACAAAAATGGCTGTTACTCATTGCCAAATTAATAAAACCTCTTGAAATTTAGGAAACATTTAGATTAATATATAGGGTTTAATTTTTATTTAAATGATAAGGGAAACATCCATTAAAAAATTATTTTCAAGACAGCACAATTTCCACATCTCTGATTTTTAAAACTTTTTTGGGCTATTTTTGGGTAATGAATATTCAAAAGCCAGATTTCCCTAAAATTTTGATGTTTCAACAATTTTTGTTTTGAGTTTTATATTTCAAAATACTTCTAAAGCTTGGATTTTAAATATAAAAGATTTTGCATTGCTAAACAATCAAAAAAAAGTTTTTTTCAGGAGTTGATTTTTGACTTGCTTCAAATTATTTTGTGACTTCTGAGGCATAGTTTTTTGCACCAAAGAAAAAAATATTTATAGCCAAAATTGACCTATAAATATAGGTTGTCTAACACTGATTTTGAGCTCATTATATTAACAGAAAATTCATCATTGATATAATATAAATTTGAGTAAAATAAGTAAGCCTCTGAGGGAAAAACACTGAGATTTTACTAGCGTGCTATAACGCGGCTCTCAGAAGAACTGCATTTCAGGGCTTCTTTTTTCGGCAACTGCCTGGCAAAAGGCCAGTTTTTTGTTTTTTATATAAACTATTTATTTTTTTAAAACAAGATAAAAACCATAGAAGATTTTGTCTATAAATTAGACTGAATTTATTCATGCCATTCATTAAAACAAGCTCTTAATCTACAAAGGTTTACATTACATTGAGCACATTTATAAACGCTCTCAAAAGTTCTACCCAACGCACGCTTTCTTCCAACTTTCGCACACATCACACACGCTCGTTTTCGCTCTGAAGACTTCACTAAACTATGGCCTTTGACATTTTGACCCACAGGAGTTTTTTTTACGGCTAGTCGGACCGCTAGAAATTCTCTTGTAGCCGTTATAGGTCGAAATAAGTTGCCTTGCCAGGGCAAGCCGAAACTCTAAGTGTTTCAACCGATTGCGTCGATCAGTCTGCAAATTTTGGAGAATATACGCGTTCACAATTGAAATATTAACGAAAAACCAAGTCAAATACTTCCACCATTTTTTTGATGGAGATCCGACAGGGTAGTAGCTCCTATATTGGTCGTTTACGTCCACGCCGTTCATATACTTATTGTAAACAGATATGAAGGCGGGTTTTTTGCGTTCTTCTTCCGGCACGGCTTTTGTTTTTCCAGTGCGCTCATCCAAAGGGCCGAAAACTTGGGGCTGGGATCGACATTGGTCGAAAGAATCGTAACTAAGCGCTTATCTTGCCAAACCAAACAAACCGAATTACCATTTTGCCTAGTTCTAATTTCACCTCGCTTGAGTTTTATGTTTTTAAAATCGACAGGAAAGTTCTTCCTGTTGTGGCGCAAGGTCGAGCATGCGTAAGTTTTGTTTTCCAACAAATGCTGAAGCAGGGAGATCGAAGAAAAATAATTATCGAAAAAGAAATGTCGGTAATCATTAAAGTAGGGTTTTCCCAGAAAATCAACGACTTTGAAACCGAGACCTTGCGCCTTTTCCGCATCATTTTCGTTGTCATTTTGTTGTTTACCTAAGTAAACTTGAAAACGCGGCACGTAGTAGGTATCCGAATCGGCTAACATCCAAACTTTAATACCGAATTTGTTTGGCTTTTTAGGCATATATTGCTTGAAAGATAAACGACCATTGAATTTCACCAAACCTTAGTCAATCGAAATATTTTTTCCTGGTACATAAGCATTTTGAAAAGCGTTTTCGAGCTTTGAAATCAGGGGCCGAATTTTTGTAAGTTTATCGGTTGCATTTTCTTGCCGCGGGTCCGAAATGTGAAAATATTTTTTCAAAATCCAAAACCGTCTCAAAGGGATTGTAGTTTTGAAGCCAGGATTTCCCAAAAATATATCTGAATCCCAGTAGAGACTGATTCTGGGTAGGCGGTTGATGCCTATGAAAATGTTCAATCCAAAAAATGCAGACATCTCATCGCGGTCGGTCGAAAAATTTTGGTCACCTTTTGAACGAGCATAGGAAATAGTAGCATGCACAACATGGTCAAGAAATTCATCGCCGAAAAACAAGTCGAAAAAGTCCTTAGGGGTAGCATCTTGACCCAACCCATGACAAGGACCAAAGTCGGCAGTGAAGTCTTCAACATTTACACTACTTAAACTATCTTTCCATTCAAAAATATCAATAGAATCGTCGCTACTTATCTCACTATCGCTATTGCTCTCGCTTTCAATCTCTTCTACTTTGATGTCCGAAAAACCGAAAAAATCTTCTTCTTCGTCTGACTTGCCCGCTATTTCTCGCCATGTAATCGCCGATGTTCCCGCTGCGATTGGCCGTGTCTCTTCAACCGTTTCGTCGATCAAAAAGCCCTCAAAATCTTCTTCTTCGCTACTATCAAACATACGAAGCGCTTCAGCCATATTTCAAATTTTTTCGCAAAAGCACGGTTTAAAACACTCGTAACTTGGACAATATTACTTGTACAAGCTTGAACGAGGTCTCATTTGAAAGAGCGGATTCGGGGGATTTTATAGGTATCAGTTGCTAGGCAACAAACAATGCATGTTTTTCATATTTGACCAATAGAAATACAGCGTCGCTCAGGGCGCATGAGGGCGCAATGCCACTTACCCACTTGCCAATTCCAGGGCGCATGGGGGCGCAATGCCACTTAATGGGTTAAGGAATTTTGTATGGAAACAACCAGCTAGAATAGCAATACGAACACAGAAAATATACCAAATTAAACATATATCAACTGTTTTTTTCCTTAATGAGTTGAAAAAATTTCAAAAAAGCAAGTCTACTGGAGTTGATGAGCTGCCCACAGGCATGTTGAAAGATATTCGTGAGTTTATTTCATACCCATTGTGTCATATTTTAGATTTATCGATTGAAAGGTCCACAGTAGCAAACATGTGGAAAGTGGAACTTCGTATCAACTTCCCGAGAACTTCCGACCTATATTGGTGTTCCCAGTTTTGTCAAAAATACTGGAAAGAGCTGTTCATGGGCAATATCTTAGATTTTCGGAAGAAGAAGGGTTATTAACTTATTGTCAATACGAGTATCGGATGAAGAGATCAACAAGCTTAGCTGCAATTCAATTTATTGATAACATAAGGAATAAAGTCGATCAGGGGAACCTTTCACGATGCTCTTCTTACAAAGTTACAGGCATATGGTGTTCGAAATGGAGAATTGACATGGTTTACAGACTATTTGTTCGGTCGACAGCAATACGTTCAACTTGGAGGTAATAAATCGTCAAATCAACCTGTATTTACTGGAATTCCTCAGGGGTCAGTACAGGGACCTTTTTTATTCCTAGTGATTTATAACGATCTTGTTGACATCTTGTTGACAGGGATAAAGTCATGTATTATACAATACCATCATCTAT